ATGACCACAGCCCTTTGTCCCAGGCTCTGGGAGGTTCCCCGAGATGTGCAATCCACTGAGCATAACCAGATGATGAATAAACATGACAAATACCAACTATGTACGAGTGAGTGATGGTTGGTTTCTCAGTATGAGTAGGTTCTAGCTGTTGTAGTTTCTTGTCTCTGCTGTTTGTTCTCTAATAGGCCTTTGATTTACAACCCAGGGTCTTCAGGCCCTTATGGATCCATAATTATGGGACCTGGCACCTATTTTCATTATTTACAAAACCCCAACAGAAAAGCTGCACAGGCTAACTAAACCCTCAAACTTGTTTGTGTGGAATAACACTGGCTAATTGTCACATGCCAATCTATCATAGCTTTGGTTGTTAGTTTAAAATGACAGAATATTAAAGTGATTATTTTAAAATTTGAAAAAAAGAAAAGAATTGGCATTTTATTTCAAATCAGTAAAAGAATTGGCATTTTATGTCTATTCAAACTAAATTCAGTATCTTCCCCCATTCTCCAGTCTACCTTACCCCATGAAATGGCATACTGTTTGATAGGTTTTTTTGCATGGGGGTTTTATACATTTTTCTGTTAGTTATCCTATGTATTTCATGTTTAATGTTATTGTAAATAATCAATTTTTTTTATTTTCTAAGAGTATATAGCTGATATTGAGGAATGCAATGGATTTATTTTTAGTTCATTTTTATTTTTTATTGACTTCAGAGAGGGAGGGAGATGGATAGAGAGATAGAAACATCAATGATGAGAATCATTGATTGGCTGCCTCCTGCACATCCCCTACTAGGGATTGAGCCCGCAACCCAGGCATGTGCCCTTGAGTGGAATCGAACCTGGGAACCTTCAGTCTGCAGGCCAACGTTCTATCCACAGAGCCAAACCAGCTACGGCTGCATTTTTGTTTAATAATTTTATATCTAACAACCTTGCTAAAGTTCATGTAGCAATTTAAATAAGTTATGTGTAGATTATTTTGGATTTGTTTTTTACAAGCAATCATATGAGCGAATAATGGCTTTGTGTAATGTTACTATAACGATATCAGCAATCTCCTGATTAAAGTTTGCATGATATGCCTAGTTCTGCCTTTTATATTCATACTTTAGATAGCCCTTTGTTTAATTTTTTTTTTTAAATTAAATCTTTATTGTTCAGATTATTACATTTGTTCCTCTCCCCCCCCCATAACTCCCCTCCTCCCAGTTCCCGCCCCACCCTCCACCCTCACTCCCCACCCACTGTCCTCATCCATAGGTGCACGATTTTTGTCCAGTCTCTTTCCGCATCTCCAACACCCCTTTCCCCCCCAAGAATAGTCAGTCCATTCCCATCTGGGTGGCCCGTGGGTAGCAGGTGGAGAACGAGAGGACAGATCCCAGGGACAAGGAAATGCCCAGAGTCACCGGAGAGGCACTGCAGTGCAGGGGAAGGAGATTTTTTTCCCTCCCGAGTGTAAACAACAACCACGCCCTTCGCGCCGCCAGCCCGCTCCACGCGCACACACCTGAGAATTTCACTTCAGCACTGCGCCTCCTCTGAGTCTGGGTATGATATCCTCTTTACTCCTAGTTGTAGAATTTCCACTCAGCCAGCCCTCCTGTGGTTCTGGATGATGTCCGTTCCGTCTGTTAGGTGTAATTTGAATTGGTTGTTCAAGGCAGCAATCTCTGGCATTAACCTATGCTGCCATCTTGGTTTCTCCCCCCTTTGTTTTAGATATAAGCCATGTAAACAACATGTAGTTAGTTTTTAAAAATATATATAATCTGACATTTTTTATTTTTTAATTGGAGTACTTAATTACATTTAATGTAGCTATTGATCTAAGTGAGTTTAAACCTATCTTTTATTAAATGTTTGTTTGCCTTATTTGCCCAGTGTTCTTTTTTTCCTTTCGTTCCTTGCCATACTTTGGGTTGACTCTATATTAAATTCTCTCCTCCATCTCTCGTTATTAGCTTAGGAGTTATGCATCCTTTTATACTTTTTTTACTAGTTAACCTAGATATTGCAATATGAATTCTAGACTTTCAAGAGAAAATATTAAATTTGATATTTTTACCTTATTTGGACGATGCAAGCTCTTGAGCTCCCTTTATCCACCTTCCTGACTTACATGTAAGTGTAATTGTATACTTTTATTCTCCATTTTTCTCTCTAGGATACTTTATTATTTTTACTTACTTCATTTATTTTTTTGGTTTATTTTTTCCAGTTTTATTGAGAAATAGTTGATATACATCACTGTAAAAGTTTAGGCATAAGAACGATGGTTTGATTTACATATATGATTACCACAGTAGGTTTAGCTAACATCCATTATCTCATATCTATAATAATAAAAGCGTAGTATGCTAATTAGAATGGATGTCCTTCTGGACGACCTTCCAGATGAAGCTGGGGCTGCGAGGGAAAAGCGGCTGCGAGGCCAAGGCAAGCCATGCGGCTGTGAAGGCTGAGCTCCTTGTGTGAATTTTGTGCCTGGGGCCTCTAGTTTAGGCATAAAATAATGGTGTGCTTACAATCTGTGATGTCTTAGCTTTGATGAAATAACTTCAATAATGGCAAGTCTAGGGCTTTACAAAACTCTCTGACTGCCTACTTTTAGGGGAAATAGTTTTAGTTTTTGCCCATTGAGTATGATGTTGGCTGTAGGTTTGTCATACAAGGCTTTTTTTATG